TACGTACATACATACATACATGCAAGCATACACACATACATACATATACATATGTATGTATATATATATATAGATAAGACACATGTTCACAACATCCAAGGTAAATGCTACGACGCTACGACAGTTTTATACATGTTACAGCACCGCTGAGAATAGCGACAACAAGAGCAACAAGAGTACCTTTGACACGACTAAGAATGCTTCAACTAACAATAACTGCTACATGCCAGTAGCAACAGGCCGCATGATGCTGATGTTGATGATGCTGCTGCTGCTGATGATGATGGATACTATGAGATGCGTGCATGTAGACGTCATGCGTCTTGTTTTTGCTTCTCCGTCACTTTCTCTCTCATTACCCGGGCCCCTAAAGCCCAAGCCCTCAAACCCTACACCCTAAACCCCATAAGCAGACCCTAACCCAGCCCCCAAACCGAACCCAGAGAACCCAATACCCCCTAGAAAATATCCTAATAATAATAATTTTCAGGCCCCTATAATTTAAGGTATCTTCCTTAATTAAGGGGTATTGGGCTCGCTGGGAACAGCTTCCACTCCTCCAGCCCTACCCCCCAGGCCTGGAAGCCGAACAACAAAGCCCTAAAAACCCTAACGCCCATTAAGTTTCAGCCTATAAACCCTAAACCCTAAAAGCTTATAAACCCCTAAACCCTAAGCCCTAAACCCTAAAAGCCTATAAGCCCCTAAACCCTAAGCCCTAAACCCTAAAAGCCTATAAACCCCTAAACCCTAAACCCTAAAAGCCAATAAACCCCAAGCCCTATAGCCTATAAGCCATAGCCCTTAGAGCTTAAACCCTGAGCCTCCAGGACAGCACTTCTTCGAGTTCCCCGTGATGGCCGCAGGGGGCGGCAAGAGCGAAGGTCTGCGCAAGGCCGAATGGGCTTAGGGCTTTAGGGTTTTAGAGTTTGGGTTTTTGAGTTTAGGGTTTGGGGTTTTCAGGGTTTGGTTGAAGGTTTAGGTTTTTTGGGAGGTCAGGTCAGTGTGTAATTTGGAGGGCCTGCAGGAACGAAGAGCTCACTTTACTATACTACTTTCGTCCAGGTGGTCCATGCTGAAGCTTTGCGGCCGCGCATGCTCTTCAGTTCGACGGACCTGAACTTCAAGACCAAGGCCTGCAGATGCGAGCTGTTATTAACAAAGAGTTTCAGGATATCAGAAGATCATACTATAGACAACAAATAGTATGACGCCGAGCGCAAGATTAGCTTTCCCCTTGAGGTGGTGGCATCCGGCATCCAGTCTGTGGCGTCAGTGCTGGAACTTGCTCTTCACAACGCAGGCTTCCCGTTGCCCCAATCCCTAAACCTCAACACCCACAACCCTAAAACCGTGATTCCTTGAAATCTGAACAACCCTAAACCCTAAACCGTAAACCCTAAACCGATTGAAATCTGAACACCAAAGCTCTCAATGAGAGCTTCCGGGTTGCTTCAGTTCAGCTTTGAAGCCCTGGCCTTCAACCAGACCCGATGCCACGAGCCCTACAACATCGCAGAGGTTTAGTCTAGGGTTTAGGGTTTAGGGTTTAGTCTACTTACTGAGGGAGAGTTCAGGGTTTAGGGATTGGGGGTAAGACCGGGCAAGATGTAAGGGTATTGGACACACTGGGAGTCGTTCGTATCGAGATCGGGTCTGTGCGAGTCCGATTCGTAAACTTCCGGGTAAGACTAAAGGCAACAAGAGGATCAGAGGCTGGTGGTCTGATGTCGATACTGATACAATTGCCGCGTTGAGTTTGTGGTGAGCAAGGTGATCGTACTCATGATGGTAGAGGAAGCGCGCTCTTGGTGAGTAAGAGTGGTAATTGGCAATAGCCAGGGTACAACAAGGAATATACCGCATGCTAGTGAAATAATCATAGCTGCCGGTATGATGACCACCGCGACCATTACGGCCGCGACCATCTTCGTCACCACCACCACCACCACCGCCACCCCCACCACCACCACCACCACCACCACCACCACCACCACCACCACCACCACCACCAGGTGCATGTATGTACATGCACATATAGATGTACGTGTATATGTATATGTCGATTTAGATGTATCTGTATATGTGTATTGCAATGTATATTTATATTTCTGTGTATACGTATATGTATGTTATGTATAGGTAGATGTGTATGTGCCAATGTATGTCCGTATGCATACATACGCATGCCCATCCATCATCCATCCATCCCTCCGTCCGTCCATCCGTCCATACATGCATAGAAACCCTAAACCCTAAACCCTAAATGTATACACTCACCTCTCAACTATAGGCATGCCTCCCCTGCCAAACAGATGACTTCCCCATCGAGTGGCGCATTGACACGGAGCCCCTCAAGAAGTTCATGGGGGCCCGGGCCCTGGAAACCCTGAGCCCTAAACCCGAATTCCTAAACCGTAACCCTAGACCCTAAACCCTAAACCCTAAACCCTAAACCCTAAACACCCTGAACCGAAAACCTTAAACCCTATCCCTAAACCGAAAACCCTGAACCCTTACCCTAAGCAGAAAACCCTAAACCCTAGGTTTTTCCTGGAGACCCGGAGGCTCACGTTAGGGTTTGGGGTTTAGGGTTTAGGGTTTAGGGTTTAGGGTTTAGGGTTTAGGGTTTAGGGTTTAGGGTTTAGGAAATCCCGAATCTTAAGCCCAGATCCTTGATCCCCAGATATGTTCCCCAAGCCCTGCACTGTAATCCTGTTCTCCAAGCCCTTAACCCTAAACTTATATTCTGTTTCTAAGAATTATACCATATTATATTGCATTATATTATACTATGTTATATGGTTTTTTGTCATATTATACCAAGCCACAAGATGGAGCAAGGTTTTCACTGTGGATCCGCCCGGTGGCATCTTGCATCCGGCGCAGGCAGGGCGGGCCTGTTCAAGACTGAGCCGCTGCTTTGTTTAGGGTCTAGGAGTTTTCCACTTAGGGGTTTAGGGTTTAGGGCTTAGGGTTTCGAGTTTTCCACTTCGCTATTCTGTTAAGGGTTCGGGGGGTAAGGGTGTGGGATCTGTCCAGAGATGTCGACGTCTGTATTGTGCGCCAGAAAGATGCAAGCGTGCAGCGCCACTCCGGGCGACATGCGCAAAAATCACCGAAGTTATCTTTGCAGGACTGCCTCGTTCGAGCGGCATTTATGCCCAACGAGCCAGTGGAGTACAAGGTGCGACGGTAGGGAAGCTGGATGAGCCCTTCTTCCCAACCCCTAAATAAAGCCCAAACTTCAAACCCTGAGCCCCGAACTCCAAATCCTACACGCCAGACCTGAAGCCCGATGCCCTGAACCCGACACCCCGTCCGTGGTAATATAGGGGCCTAAATAATTACCAATATTATTTAGGGGGTTCCTTGTAATTAAAGTCTAATGGGCCCCAAACCCTGTTCTCATTATTAAGGCCCCTATATTATAGGACGTCATCTGCTTGCAATCATTGCTTTTTTCGTTCTCTGCCTTGGCCGTGCAAGCAAGAATCAGGCGAATATGAACGTCTACATCTCGCCACCTCGGGATGCTGGTGACGTGTAAGCAATGAGTAGTTGCTGACGGCAGCCCGAGCAAGGGAGAATTAGTAGAAGCAGGAGTAGTCGGAGTAGTAAGAATAGCAGGAGCAGCCGCAAGAAGAGGAGTCGTAGTAGGAGTAGTGTCACCAGTGGGAGTGGCGGGGGAGTAGTGAGAGGAGTAGTTAGTAGTAGTACTCGTCGTCGTGGCAGTAGTAGTGGCAGTGGCAGTGGTCATCATAGTACCTGTCGTGCGAACAACTACGATCCAAGGCAAGACCGCTGACGCCAGCATGGCCCTGCCTGCGGATGAGAGTGCCTCAAGCGGCATTGCAAATTTTAGGGTTTAGGGTTTAGGGTTGAGGGTTTAAGGTTTAGGGTTTAGGGTTTAGGGTGTATGGCTGAGGGTTTAAATCGGGTTTGGGGAACCTGAACACTAAGCCATGGTTCTAGACTCATGTTGGTTTCAGGACTTCAGTGGCTGCGAGGGTCTAGGGTCCTGAAGCGCCCGATCTGAAAACACACCCTAAACCCTAAACCCTAAACCCTAAACCCTAAACCCTAAACCCTAAACCCTAAACCCTAAACCCCTGGAGCCCTCAGGAACGCGCAGAGAAACCTGCATTAAAACCCGTCTCGAAGCCTTGTAGCGGCTCTATCCTACACCCAAACCTCTCCAAGTAGACCCAAAAACCCCTAAACCCTTAAACCAACCCCCTAAACCCTAAAGCTTAAATACCATTCCGAAAGCCTTACACCCCAAAGCCCTAAAGCCCTAAACCCTAAAACCCCAAAGCCCTAAATCCTAAACCCTAAACCCTAAGCCTAAATGCCCTGAACCCTAAACCCTAAACCCTAAATGCCCTAAACCCTAAACCCTACCCTAAACCCGGAGCCGAGGCAAGCCTTACCTCTCCCTTCGGATGAAGGGCCAGGGCACCGTGCCCAAACTGACCTTCGACCGCCGCGAGATCGTCCTGCCGCGCCCCGGCTCGGGTTCAGGGGTTTAGGGTTTAGGGTTTAGGGTTTAGAGTGTTTCGGGCCAGTTTCGGGGTTATTTCGGGTTTAGGCTTTGGGGTTTTCGGGGTTTGTAAGGTTTTTGGGTTTAGGGTTTTCAGATTTAGGAATGTTGCAGGGGTGCCTTCCTATATCATAGACAGGGCGTTTGAAGTGTTTTCTAGGGACTAGGGCTTTACAGGGTTTTAGGATGTTGTGTTAGTGGTTTGGGGGTTGAGGTTAAGTCAAGATTTGGGGTTTGAGTGTAGGGTTCAGCGTTTAGGGTTCTTTTTTCCGCTCTTTCGGAGGGCTGTCAAGAACTCCATTGCCAAAGAGCTGTAAAGCCTAAACCCCTGGGTTTAGGGTTTAGGGTTTAGACCCGCCTCCCTAAAGCACTTGAGCCTCAAACCCCAAGTATTCCATATCTGGACGACCGAAATGAAGATCCAACAGTCTAGGTGCTCCTGTCAGAGTGCTCATAGAGCCTCTGATAAAGACGTACCGCAGCCCTCAAAACCCAAAGCCCGACCCGAAATGCTCAACCACAACCCATAAAACCCGAAATCTGAATCCTAAACCCTAAACCCCTAAGCCCCTAAACCCCTAAACCCCTAAACTCCTAAACTCATAAACCCCTAAACCCCTAAACCCATAAACCTTAAATCCTAGGCCGAAAAAGCCCTAAAGCCCTTCCAGCCCGAGGATCGTGCCCTTGGGCATTAAGTCAAGGCGCGGCGCTGTCAGGGGCCCTTTTAGGGTTTAGGGACCCTAAACCCTAAACCCTAAACCCTCAACCGATAGGGGCCAGGGGGTGTTGGTCGTCCAGTGCGAGGAGGTTGGGATTTTGGGGCTCCTAAACCCTCGACCCCTAAACCCTAAACCCCTAAGCCCTAAGCCCCTCAACCCCTCAACCCCTTAACCCCAAACCCTCAACACCTAAACCCCTAATCCCTAAACCCTAAGCCCTATACCTCTAAACCCTAAACCCTCAGCCCCTAAACCCCTAAACCCTAAATCCTAGAGCCCTAGGGACTGCATGGGTGTGGGGGTCCAGGGCGCACGGGTGCTGGGGCCTGTCGGGGTCTCCGTGCAGCCTTATCATTACTATCATTATTATTATTACTGTTATGATTATCTCCATTATTATTATTATTGTTATTTATTATTATTATTGTACTACTACTATTATTATGATAATAATAATAATAATTATTATTATAATAATTATTATTATTATAATTATAACTATAATTATAATTATAGTTATAATTTTTATAATTATAATTATAATTGTTGTTGTTGTTGTTGTTGTTGTTGTTGTTGTTGTTGTTGTTGTTGTTGTTGTTGTATTTATATATTTATTTTATTATTTATTTATTTATGTATTTGTTTATTTATTTATGTATTTATTTGTTTATTATTATTATTATTCTTATTATTATTCTTATTATTATTCTTATTATTCGTATTATTATTATTATTATTATTATTATTATTATTATTATTATTATATATACACATATTTATAGTCTACTTAGCTGCTTCACGATTCTGGTGGTTTTGAGGGGGGTTTCTGTAGGGTTTAGGGCTCAGGGTTTGGGGTTCAGGGCTCGGGGTTTAGGGTTCAGGGTTTGGGGTTTAGGCTTCAGGGTTTAGGGTTTAGAGTTTAGGGTTCAGGGTTCAGGTTTTAGGGTTTGGGGTCTATTGGTCTAGGGATTCTCTGGGGTGTTTCGTTTCGGGGCCGAGGGCCTAGGACGGGGGTCTAGAGCCATGCAGTTTGTGGGTTGTTATGTGCATTGGTGGTTGCCAGCATCTAGAACAGCCTGCGATGTGGTGTAGTGGAGACTCACTTGCAAGGATCATACTTGTTCTATATACAAGTTACCTTACGAAGTAGAAGACGCATGAGGATTGTGCTTGCCGAACAAGCACCTCGACTAGATGCAAGAGTTGCTTTCCTCGCAGACACCCAGCACTCCCTCAATGAAACGACTACTTCTCAGATCATGGTTAAGGAGCATTGATTACTTGATGGGGGTGCCGGGCGCTCTGGTAGGATGGGAAAATCCCTGAAGCCTACACCCTGACACACCCCCTAAATTCTAGACCCTAAGCCCTAAACCCTAGACCCTGCGCTTAGATGCTTGTTCTACATCGTGAACGAGGGCTACGAGAGCCTCGATGTCAAGTATCGGTGGCCCAGCTGCAGCGTGTCATAAACCCGAAACCCCAAACTCAAGGCCACTTGGAGGATCGCGGGACTTAGTAAGTAAGGTTATAAGCGCCTGAATTGGGGCTATAAGTAACTATAAGTATAGGCACCTTATTTGTAACCTAGACCCTAAATCCCAAAACCCAAAACCCAAAACCCTGCCTTACTAAGTCCCATGACCCTGCAAGTAACAGTAGAGCCCTAAGCCCTGCAGCTTTATAACCCGAAGCCCTCAACCTTAAGCCCTACAGGGTTTAGGGCTCAGGGGTTTGGGTTTAGGGTTCAGGGTTTATGTTTTAGGGTTCAGGATTTTGGGTTTAGGGTTTGGGTTAGGGTTTTAGGGTTTAGGGTGAAAAGGGGTTCAGGGTGTAGGGTTTTGGCAAAGTCCAAGCCTTTCTCCGAAGCTTTGCAAAGGCTGCCGAACGATCAGATTCGCATCCCGCTGACGATCAACTTTCCGGAGGCTTCCGGGGGATTAAGGTTTAGGGTTTTAGGGGTTTGGGGTTCAGGGTTTAGGGCTTTTAGGGGTTTTGGTTTAGGGATGCAGGGGTTTAGGGTTTAGGGTATAGGGTTTAGTTGACCAGTGCATAGACACCATGAGCCCTAAACCTCTAGACCAGAAGCCCTACATCCCAAGTCATGTAAACTCTAATCCATACATCCTATATGCTATGCTGAACACCCCAAACCCCATACTTTAACTCTTAACCCCTGATACCCTACAGCCCTAAACCCTAGACCCTAGGCATTGCTGAAGGGCTTGGCACGTGAAGCCCTGCACCCGACGCTCCGCAAATGAAGGAAGCAGGGTTTCCTTGTTATTAGGGGGCTACTGGGGGACTTAGATTGACCATCGGATCACTTTTAATCTCATCAGTACCTTCTTTACTGTGTGTGCAGCAAAGCCTAAAGTGCCGAAAACCCTCTCAGACCCAAAGCTCTACACTCCTGGACAAAGGCAGAAGGCCCTTAACAAAAAGCCGACACTCCGAAGGAGTGTCCATAAACAAAAAGACCTGAAACCCTTGAACACAAAAGCCCTAAAACCCTAGACATTTAAGGACACAAGCCCTTCTTACTGCAGGAGGAGAAGGGGCGGTTCAAAAGACTGCCCTAAACTCCTCAGATCTAAAGGCCTCAAACTAAGATCCTAAACCCTAAAGCCTAAACGTATAGCGCAGACCCTAGATTCTAAACCTGAAATCCTAAACCCTAAACCCTAAACCCCACCCTAAAACCTAAACCCTGAACCCTAAACCCTAAACCCTAAACTCTAAACCCCAAACCCTAAACACGAAAACCCTAAACCCTAAACCTAAGCCCTAAACCCTAAACCTAAACCCTGAACCCTAAACCCTAAATCCTAAACCCTAAACCCTTAAACCCTAAACCCTGAACCTAAGCCCTAAACATTAAACTCTAAACCCTAAACCCTAAACCCCTACACAAAGAAGCCCTTCGCTCCACCGATCCCTTCTCGCGCAGGGGCAGCAGATTGGAATCACAAAGCCGAAGATCCCGGCCACCTGGCGAAGAAGGGCCATCCTAACCTGGAAGCCTAGGGTTCAGGGTTGAGGGGTTCGGGTTTAGGGTGCAGGGGTCAGGGTTTAGGGTTGAAGGGTTTAGGGTTTAGGGTCTGGGGGTTAGGGTTTTGGGCTTAGGGTTTAGGGTTCAGGGTTTAGGTGACTGACTCCTTTCTTTTACATCTTATTTGGGCTTGCTGTGGGGTTTAGAACCCGGGGTCTGCGAAGTTACTAGAAGTAGCCCCATCTCGTACGCCTATATTATAGTATAATTTCCCCCCACCCCTTTTTTCATAACTGGTTTGAGGCTTCGTACCCAAGAAGGCACAAACAGAAAGATTTTTCAGTCTGGTCTAGTGGCTTGATTGGCTTCATAGGATGTGTAAAGGGTGTTTAAGGAGTTATGTGGGGTTGAAGGCTAAGGGTTTGTACACCGCGACGAAGCAACCGCCTTGTTTGAGGGCTTGGGTAGAAGGATCCCTTTGTAATTCCTTGGTAAGGGAAGTGGGTTGATTAATTCTACATTACGGCAGCTGATGGCAGCGTTCTCAGTTGAGTCTGTCTGTGCGTGGCCTTAACAGACCCCAATCTAGAAGAGCACCACGTTGAAGCTTTTGCAGTGCGAGGTGGAAATCTTCTTCCAGTCGAACAAGCCGATTTCCTTCTGTGCCAAGTGCCGTGGCTTCCGTGCTTTCCTGCCCAGTTACCAGTTGAGGGGGCAGCCGTGAAGCCTAAACACGAAGTCCTCAACAACTGGGTCCTTCACCCCTGAACCCTGAACCCTAAACCCTAAGCCCGCAACCCCAACCTATAATCCCCAAGCACCCAAGAAAAAGCGACGAAGCCCAAAACCTCGAGACCTTACCCAGACCCTCAAGCCCCGCAGCCAAGCCTCGAATCCCTAAACCGTAGACCCCAAACGCTAGAGGCCCTTTTAGGGTTTAGGGGTTTAGGGTTTAGGGTTTAGGGTTTGCTAAATGCGCAACTCGGGGCCCGAAATGCCGAAGCCACACTTCCTAGGTGGTATTGCGGAGCGAGCCCTTAAAGGGGACCCTTCCGAACCTTACTTATGGCTTCCTTAATGCGGACCTCATTGAGAGGGTCTATATCCCCAAATATCCCCCTAAACCCTAAACCATAAACCCTAAACCCTAAACCGTCCCCCGAACCCTAACTCCTAACACTGGGAAGTGGGACCTAAGGATTGAATTCCTGGACAACGAGTCAGGCAATGGGGGGCAGCGGTCTTGGGCCTAGCTTGGGAGTTTGGGGTTTGGAGCTTTCGGTTTAGGGTTTATAGGGTTTACTATAGGGGCCTTAATAATTTCAATAGGTTTTTGGGGCCCGTTATGCTATAATAATAATAATAATCAGGAGTCCCCAAAATAGTGTTCTAATTATTAAGGCCCTTACACTAGGGGCCCTAGTTCCACAGCTTTGGGGTTAAAGGTTCAGGGTAGGCCCCGACCGACCTGCCGACAGGCTCGTACGTCTTGCCGGTGTCTGGGACCACGGAGAACTGCATCCTGACATGTCGCGCTCCTAGAGTGTACTCTAAACCCCAAACCCTAACGCGCCTAGCCCAAACCCTAAACCCTAAACCCCCTAAACCCTAAACCGTTGTAATTGCAGAAGCCTGGCCCTGCTTATGGGGTTTCGGATTCTGGGCATTGGGGTTTAGTCGTAAACCCTAGACCCTAAACCCACAGCATTGGGGCGTAGTGCTTAGGGTTTAGGGTTCTGGGCTTGGGGGTGGGGGTTCAGTCTAGCACATTTTCAGGTGGGTAGTTACCGTTGTAGGAGCCTTATAGAAGGTCTATACACCTTATAGAAGCCTTATATACCCTAAACCCTAAACCCTAAACCCTAAACCCTAAACCCCTAAACCCCTAAACCCTAAACCCTAAAACCCTAAACCCTAAACCCGAAAACCCTAAACCCTATACCCTAAACTCCCCACCTGTAGTGTCCTTTAGTTCAGGACCTGGCCCTTTGGTGTTTGGGAAGATCTTGACCCGAAGCCTTCGGCCCCCGAGCCCCAGAAGACTGAACCCCTTTAGGGTTTAGGGTTTTAGGGTTTAGGGTTTAGGGTTCAGGGTCTAAACCCTAAGCCCTAAACCCTAAAGCCTAAACCCTAAACCCTAAACCGAACCCTTTCTCGAAGCTTCGGGCCAGTTGGCC